TAGAATTGAATTAAAGGAGGAATTCCTAGAATTGTAGCTGAAGTCTAATATTTAGTGGATAAACGTATTAATATTTAAATCGTAGCCTTGTGTTGGTAAAAGAACGATGTGAATGCCAGGAATAGTTTTTATCCTCATGTTGTTGGGCAGCAAAGGTTTATAGTTAGCTATCACGTCGTCGCTAAGGATTATTCGTGGTAGCAGAGCCTACAAGTTTAGCTGAACTCTCAAAGTAAGCGGTAAACTAAATCTCCATACATGTTATTGAATTCTCGGCAATGTCAGGTTCTCATACAAATAATGCTTACTAGACAAGAATAGCGTGTCTTAACCCATTTGCCATGGAGCACCGCAGGCCCACCGCCTGAAGGCCGGTACGGAACGTTCGTAACATCCTGCTAGCTCTATTAATTGCCTACATAAATGATTTTAATGCGAACCATTAGTCTAACCACTTCATAAACTGAAGTTACACGAAATTGTATCAAATATATTAAAATATTTTCAATTAGCTATATTTTATTTTTCGCAGCTGGACGGCTTAATTTTAACAGTAGGTTAGGAAAAATACTTATATTATGTAGGAATGTTGAACAAATAGCGATGCTTCGTCACTTAGATAAATAAATTAAATCGAACCATAATATATCGGGATGACTGGCAAAACATGTTGCTAGTATTAAGTTCTTCAAAGTAAAAATAAATAAAAAAATATTTATTTTTTGAAGAACTTTTGAAACGTTAAAATTGAATAATATTCTGTCAGCCTGTTCGTCAGTGAAGCTGCTGGTGCTCGTAGATTGTTAGTGCTTATAGATTCGAATGGGAGAAGAACGAGCACGAAACTTCAATATGCAATTGTGTATTAAAAATAAGTGTGGGAGAGCCATGCTTCATGGTTGTTGTGTTTCGCCGTGTGAGTGAGGTTACCGGAGGCCCAATCCTTCCCCTCCCTCAATCCCTAAATCTCCACATCCCTAATCCCTAAATGGTCGGCAACGCACTTGTAACTCGCTCCGTTGCGGGTGTCCATGGGCGGCGCTGATTGCTTACCATCAGGTAATCCGTCTGCTAGTTTGCCGACCTATTACATAAATAAAATAACACCAATAATAAAGTCTTCCTATAAACAATAGATCAATAAACTTATTGGTACAAGTATAATTGATTTAAATACGTAACGACCTACACTACATCCTGGTAATGTAAGTGCAGTTTTTATCACATAATTGACTCGCGCCTAACGAGACATGTGACGTATCCTTGCAAGTCAATCAGAGACTGTTTAACTACATACACTTGTATGTATGTACAAATGTAACGAAGGTCTTAAGGTAAATAATATTCCTTTTAGAGGGGGAAATCATAAAATGTCTTCTCTCGAGAGGGAGTATCAGATTCTTACGGACCAAAATTGACGGTCTGCGGTCGTGGTGGCCTGGAGCTTAAGGAGCTTCTCATGCATGAGGGTGGGTTCGAAACCTGGCAAGTACCAATGTGACTTTTTCAGAGTTATATGTACTTTATATGATTATTTAGACACCACTGTTATACGGTGAAGGTAAACATCGTGAGGAAACCTGGATTTACAATTTCTAATTATAAGTCCGAAATCGCCAACCCGCATTGAGCAAGCGTGGTGATTAATGCTCAAACCTTTTACGTGCGAGACGAGGCTTTCGCTCAGCAGTGGGCACTTATGGGCTGATGATGGATGATGATGACGGACCAAAATAACTCCCCATTTCTTCTCCCGCTCCAGGGAGGGTGTAGCCGTGGTATGTTTTCGCGCTTAACAATCCCCGCGTAAGCCTAACTACATATTTTAGTATGTTTTAATACATAGATTGAGGAAACAGATTAGTTGACGGTAAGCAATCACATTAAAACTAGATGAGTTACGAGTGCGTTGCCGCCTTTTAAGGGAATATTTCTTTCAGTCATGATGTATTTTGAAAGTTGTCACTCGTTTATCGCGTATTTTTACCACAGCTTTAGGCTCAAGAGCATAAACTTTAATACATTAAATTTAAAAACAAATATTTTAATCGGACAGTAATTCCCATAAGAAATGTTATGGTTGGCGCAGTGGCTGCTGCGCAACGTGTCGCGCCTTCTATCCCCGCGGCAAAACTCCTTGTGTGATCTACAAATTATAGCAGGTTTGGGAGTAAATTTCTGTTTGTAAAGACTCTCACGAAACAGAAGAAACTTAAAGGGTAAGTATTGTAACGTTTAAAAAACCAAACTCGTGGAGACGCCAAACTTATCTCTTACAGTATCTATTAGACTAAAGATGTCGTACATTACTCAAAACTGATTAACGAGAAAAACATCCATCCATAAAGTTTAAACCATATTTTAGCATTAAAATAAATTCCCTTGCAAAATCACTGGGTTTATTATATAAACAGTATAATAAACATTAACCAATCGGTATAAATTAAATACTGGTCGACAGCAGCGTTTACACTGACGTTTGTGAATATTGAAACTAAATCATTTCAACGTGACCCAGGCAATAGGCCGAACTCGAATCAAATCATGAAAATTCATAAAACAATCTCCATTGACGTTTTTACATCAGATGGGTTCTACTTGAGTAGAAGAAAACCAGCAATGGTTATCGTACTTAAATTTCGTAATAAATTCTCGTGTCGCAAGCGTAGACTACAACCAAATACAAATAACACCACTAATGAAGTTTGATTAAAAACTGATTTATTATTTTAAATTATGTATCCGGCTTGAAGCTTGTTTGTTGTTGTTAATTTATTTGATTTAGATATCACGCTTTCAGGCCGCCTCAGATCTGATTCGATACGATTAAATCTATTCGATTATTCAGCAATTCGATTGTTCGTTAAAAACATTTAATAACATGACAAGAAAACTGCTATTTGTCAATCAAAATGTTAGTAATTTAATTGAATTGGAATTAATTAATAATTATTATTGATATTTTTTTCAATTATGTCATGTATTATGTCAAGTATTGATTGGCTTTCATAATTTTATGTAAATTGATAATGATCTAATATTTGAATTGTATGAAATTGGTTGCGTATTTTTTCCAGGTTGAGTTGAGGATGCGAGTTATAATGTACTGCGACCTAGGCCCGAAACAGGAGACGGGGTTTTTTAAGTCAGTAGGTAAGAGTCTCACACTACCTCTCGACCCAACCAAGATTGGAAAAATCAATACTGATGATTTTCCTCACTTTACGAAAAAAATACCTAATTCTTGGTTTTGACCACCAATAATATCACTGAGGAATCACTTTGACACTTGTAGATACATAATAACGTGACGTTAAATCCCTAAAGGCTTGAGCAGAAGTGCACATACAAAATATAAAAATTATATAAGCCAGTTATGTTGAAAGTAACACAATAGGGATGACGACTAAAAAATAATAATTAATCCATCTTTTAGAAAACGCAAGAAAATAGTAGATACGCCTTTTTTCTTTTGAAAAAAGTTCAGAGCGGCGAAAGTTCGCGCTACGTCATTATATTGTATTTTTCTTACGAAAGTATGACGTCACGAGCCCCTACTCCTGAATTTGAATGTGCTGTACCTTTTTTAATATTATTCGTATCGACAGATAAAAAAATATGTATCGAGTATTTTTCTATAATCTAACTGTCGAACTAATTAGAATCTTGTTGTTTTAACCCAGGATACTATTCCCGACAGCGTGCTTATATTGAGAGGCATAAGGACAGATACCTTACCATTATTATTTGATTTACAAACAAAAATTTTGGGCGACAAAGTCAAATTTTGCTAACATACTTAAAAAAATTTACCAAAATTCTCTAAAACTAAATGAGAGACATTGAAATGTCAATTTCGACCTTATTGCAATTATCACGTCTTTGTTAGATGAGCGATGAGTGTGGTCCTTTTGACCTTTTAGTTTTAGCCAATTTTATATGGAAATAAATAATTGCACAATTCACATTAACTAATAAACCACAATTTTGTGTGTTTGATCGACGTAAAGTTGTGTTACGAAAAAAATATGAAAAAACTAAACGTCACGCGTTCATTTCCCGAGCTCAAAGAGCCAATAGACCACCAGACGGGGCCCTATAGAGCTGATGTTCAGCCGGGGTTGCGGAGTAAGCGCAATGAGTCGCTGCGACCTCGGCCCAGAGCAGGAGAAGGAAGGGGGGGGGGGGGGGGTTAGTCAGTAAGAGTCTGACTTTCATCCCACCCAGGGTATTTTTTTAGGGATTTCATTTAGGGAAACTAAATGAGCTTATGTAAAACAAGCCTATTTTTTCTTAGAAAACACTTAGTTCTAAATAATTGAACCAAAATATTGTCCATGACCCTTACAGACAACTAGACAGACGGGTCAACTAATGCAAGCACACATATGAACAAATGTTCATGTCATTCAAACCGTAAAATCTAGAGGCCGATCTCATAATAAGTATACAAGTAACACCGGATAATTATAACAATGTAATCTATAGAAAACAAATATAGTGCGCGGGCGCAGTGACGTGTGACCGGAATGCAAGCCGCAGGGCGCGGCGAGTCAAGGTAAGGGGTCAGAGAGAAAGGCACGTTTAATGTTTGCGTTAATTTCATACTAAACTTATTAATAACATTTGTCAACTATTTATTTATTGATAATTTCTTTGTTAGATGACATTTTAAGAACACAGAGAAAGGGACAAGGAAAACGCAACTTTTTCTTAATTCAAATTTAGTAAGTAGGTAAAGTATTACACATGTATTAATTAATATTGTGAGTTAAAACAATACGTACCTGTATAAAACATATTTACGTTTTTGAGGGGGTTTCACGATATTTCAAATCTATAAGTATATATCGTTGAAACTACGAGTATTTGAATCCGTAAAAGAAAATGACGCGTTTAATATTTTAAATCTGTATTTTGGTATTGGCTATACTATCTTAATAAAGTGATGGTGATGGGTCATTTAACATTTCATAAAGGTTTCTTTTTTTTTGTGACAGGACGGCATGCTGCGGCAGCGCTCTGTCAGCACCGCTCATGGACATCCGCAACAACGGAGAAGTTACGAGTGCATTGCCCACCTTTTAAGGATTTGGGTTTTGGAGAATAAAGGATTGAGGGAGGGGAAGGATTGGGCCTTCGATAATCCGAGTGTGAGTGATCACACGGCGAAACACAACGCTGTGGTTGTTTCACGCCGGTTTTCTGTGAGGACGTGGTCTTACTCCCGTCGAGCCGACCCATTCGGGCCGAAGCTTGGCTCTCCCACTTGAAGTTTTGCAATATTTGCCTTCTATTTAGAACGGTGTAATCTAGTATTTTATAGGTACACTATAGACAATCAAAAGCTTGGTTGCACATCTGTTTACAATAGCTAATAAACAAGGAAATTATTATAGCAATGTGAACTTTAGTGATTTCATTTACATACATAAAATAAGCAATTATTTTATATGTACAGCATAACATTATGTTAGCTGTTCCTACTTAAACGAAATGAGCAGAGGTTTCTAGTAATGCAGAGACTATCCAGTGGTAGATGCAAGAAGCAAGCTAGAATTACATACCTGGTGTGGCTAAACCGTAAACCTAAATAAACATAATATTAAATACACAGATGTATACTTATATTTACTTTATATTAATAAAACAATAATAAACTTACATATATACACACATACGATCCATAAGTACTAGGGTTCAACATTAAAAATAAAAAAATAGACAAGAGTTGATCAATGAAGTCTAACAATTGCAGAACAATAATAATAATAAAATTTTTTTATTTCATTTAATCTTTAAAAGGAATGTTGCAAATAACTCACCAGTATTTTTAAATTCGCAACGAATAAAACCTCCTTTACTCATAATTTAGCGTGGCCATCAATTTTATTAGCAACAGATTAATTTTAATATCATCGGTATCTCGCTTAGTATTTCGTTTATCCCCTAAAAGGTTCGATAGGCGGAGTAATTGCTCACACCAATTACAAACCATATAATTACCATTATTCGTAATGTCATTACTGAATATAAATCACTATAATGTATTTTAAATTTTAATTTGTAGTTGCAGTACCTACCTACTACCTAGTATGAATTAATTTAGGTATTTTAGAACTTATTACTTTGTTATACGGTTGTCGTTTTCCGGGCATAGAGTTGAGGGTGATATATATTTTATGAATGAATTAGGAATTGGTTTGGTTGGAGAAAAGTAATGATTTATCGTTGTGTACGAATTTGTATTTCCATGGTTGGTTTGTTCGAGATTTGATAACAATTCGGCTAGGTGTCTGTCGGCTGTAGGCGTGGTCGCAGATAAGGTTCGGAGTAATTTTGATTGTAGATACCTGTACGTTTTTTTTGTAAGTTTTTATTTTACTTACCATGTATGTATGCATCCTACGAGAAAAAAATGAAGCAAATACTTGGAGACTAGTTTGTTGAAATATTCAGGACAATGAAGAATTAAAGTTTTTGAATTTACTCGTACAACATACGATTATCTTGAAAGATTTTTGTCATAAGACTTATTGTCTCATTTAAAAGGTTATTTTACGAAGTACATTATTTTTAATTTAAAGTGACGGTTTGCCTACGTATTTGCACGTTCCAAAAGGTTTTAAAGTTGATATAATATTTTTTACAACACGTTCTTTTTACTAGTTTTGTTTATGAGTCCTGTGTATCGGGAACTGGATATATATGATCTAAGCCTATTGAGTTTTTTTGAGAAACATGCAAACCATGTATCATTAAACACATACACGTAGCGAAAAATAGTAGACAAACGCTTGACTTCCCCTCAAATGATATATATCTTTCTGATTTATTTCGTTGTGGGATCCAAGACAGTCACTAATGTTCCTGGGACGCGCCGCGACTTTATGTTCCGGTGCTTTCATGGTTGAATCTGCTGTAGATCCTGGCTTACAGGAGTTGCAGCGATTCGGGGAGAGAGAGGCGGACTTGTTCCACCAAAAAAAAAATAGACAAACGCAAGAGCATTTCTAAAAACGTACTCCTGGGTTAATTCTAACAGCTTACACTACAAAACAAAACAGACTAGTAAAACAATTTACTAGTATTATTATGCAAATGCGAAACAAAACTAACAAACTGCCAACTTCTAAACGTTTATTCAGAGCTAGTTAGCTACACGTAAGCTTAAAGTTCGCACAGCTGTTGACATTGTGCTTTGATCCACATTCGGGACCAGTTTCATTGAGCGAAGTTTATTATGTATATCTAGATATTTATATATCTGTGTTGTGATTGCATTCTACGGTTAAGTAGTCCTAAGTTTACGTAAAATGCCTAATGAATAGGGTTTGGAGTATTCAAGGTTTTTTTTTGTGAGGGGAAAATCATCAAATGACTTCTCCCGCCCAGGGCCGGGCGGGAGGGAGTGTCAAACTCTTACTGACTAAAAACACCCCTGTTCTTTCTCATGCTCTGGGCCGAGGTCGCGGTGCTTTATTGCGCTTTCCCCGCAACCCTGGCTGAACATCACCCCTATAGGGCCCCGTATATGGTGGTCTATTGGCTCTTTGAGGCGCGCGGAACGCTACGCGCCGTACGACGGCGCCCGACCAGAACCTGACGGTTCTGGTCGGGCGGCGGGCTACCCTTACTCGCCGACCGCAGACCCAGTATTTAAGGGGTGTATTTAATTGAGCTCCTTTCCTGTTCGTTTGTCTTTCTTATTTAATAATGGACAGGCTTCTGTCGCTGTCATCATTGGTTAGCGATGGTGCGACCTACGATGGGGCACAGTTCCCCATAAACAGCCTATACCTACCTATAGGTACCGACTTCATACGAATTTTGGACATATTATAATCTAACTTCTTCGAAGTCACATTCACTAAAGTTTAAAATATTAATGTATTCTAGTTTAGTAAATGGAAATGCAAAATAATATCACAATTAACAAAGTAATTACCTAAGTCGGTAACATAAAACCGAACAATAACAAGCAAACAAACAATATGTTCTCTCTATGATATTTAAATTAACTAGAATTATTATGTCAACATTGCGTGCCAACCCGACCTTATATTATTTACCTATTTAAAATAATGGACTAAATAGATTTATAGTTACACTATCTCTTGTCCAAGACTTTGTTCGCTTGGTTATACGCATAGGATTTCGTATTTCGACCTTTCATAAAAATTCCAAAATAGTGTCTATTTTTGAGTGAGATTTTCATCTAGATCCGTTAGGACATTCACTGTAAGAAGTTTCATTTAAATATTAGCCTATAAAATGCAATCGTGAAACGCATACTTAGATAACAATTGGTTGTTTGCTTAGTAAAATTAATTTTGTGTTGATTTTGATGTTTTTTAAAATGAAATGCTAAAATTCACTGATATATACTCGTTAATTAATTGCAGACAAATATAAATAAAATATAAGAACGAATTTCTGTTCGTAAGTCTCGCTAAATCTCGAGAAAGGCTGGACTGACATGGATATATAGAAGTTTAAAAGGTCAGAAAATAAAAAATAAAAACACTTAAAACATAATTAAATATTAGTTATATTTGAGGCGGTACGAAGTTTGTCGGGCCAGCAGTAATTGATACAAATTCCAACGAAATGACAGTTCAAGACTATAAAAGCTCACAACTTGTACAAAACACCTACGGGTGTAAAATTATTGCGTAATTTGTGTTAAATAGTTATTTATTGTGTTCGTTATTAAACTGACAACATTGCCCCAGTAAGTGGTGGGCATAAAGTTTATTGTTGATTATATTTTACACCTATGTTACGATAGTCGGCTTGTTAATAGTTAAGTGACGTAAGTAGGGCTAAGTGGGTTAGTATTAAGCTGTAAGATTATAAAGCAGCTTCTTATAAAATGAGTCCTTAATTTAATTATTATGTTTTCGGCTTACTCACGTCATAATTTGACGAGATATTCGACTAATACTGCTCATGATTATGGGCCTCTAGTATGGCTTGAAAGTAGTCGAGTATCTCGTCAAATGACTACGTGGGTAAGCCGAAAACATAATCATTAAGTGAGTCCTTAATTTGTTGGAATATTAAATTTAATAGTGATACCTACATAAAGAAATGTGATGGGGAAAAGAAGGTAAACTATTTGTACACAGAAGTAAAGTACCATAATTGCCATCATCATCATCAGCCAGAAGACGTGCCCTGCTGAACAAAGGCCTCCCCCTTAGTCCTCCACATCGAACAAGTTGCCATCTGCACCCAGTGGCTCCTCGCGACCCTGACGATGTGCTTAAGAGTTTTGTATTGGTATCCAGCTTATAACACTTCCAATATTAAAAGGAATTCTATTCAATACAACCGGCCCCGTTGTAATTCAGTTAGCCAAACAAAACGCTGTATTAGTCATATGGTCTATTGTCCATAGCTGTCGTTCGCGCCGCTTTATCTTAATTGACTGCAATTTGATTTAGTGGCGCAACTGTTTACCAACTTACATTTACAGTAAAGTAACACCCATATACCATATAAATTTATTGCCGAATACACTTTTACAACAGCATGTATAACTTTGTATCTTGAGGCACGCGCCAATCTACTATTACGTTTCGAAAAAGGTACGTCAATCAAATTTAAATCTTGCGTCTATCAACGTAGAGTTCTAGTTTGATAGTGTTGTTTGAATTTATGAGGTTGTCAAAAGGCATTGTGTGAGCAACGCCTAAGGGGACAAGTTATGTCACACAGTTATTTCTTGTACAACACGTCTGGTAGGAAAGTAACAAGGATATTAGATCTGTATCGCTCCATATGAATTTGATTGAAGTTCAGGGGGCATACCTTGTATTCGAGTACAAGATTGGAAGCCAATTTAAATTATTTGACCGTTGCAACATCGCAACGCGTTACGTTAGCTTTATAGAACTTTGAATCGAATTTGGAACGAAATAAACGTTATTTTTTAAACGGCTATTAGTATGGTTTGACAGTTACTAATTCATGTTGATTGGGCATAGTAGGCCTCTAGTATGTCAGTTTTATCAGTAAGTGATTGAATGAAGTGTGCACAGTTCGTTCCTTGATCTTTATCACTCGAGTTGGTTTAGCAAATGAAACTTGTCAGCAAATAAATTTATCACGGGTGATACGATAAGATTTGTACCCCTGTTTATTAACTGACTGTTCGCTGCATAATATACATATAAATCCGAACTGGTTTTGGAATATTTGATGATTCATTGATATGTCAAAGTGCGTGAGAAATCGATCTGATTTTGTTCAGATAGTGCAGTTCTCA